AGTTTGGTGCGTGTGGTAACTTTTCTAAGACTTGTGGTAACTATACTCGTCACCAATAGATAGCACAAACGTACCACATTTTATTTCTGTGTGTAGTCTCGTTTCAGCAGTTATTTCGATCAATTAGAAATTTTCTTGAACTGTTCAAATCAGCCATGATTACATATTTTGTCGGAAAAATAAAAACTGGAAAGTTTTATGTTGATTATCCGTTGATTGACCGGTTATGTGATCCTGACCTCTTTTATCTTTGAAAAAATCCTTGAATTTGTAATTTTTTCATTCCACTCCAACACAGATTGTTGGAGCCAAAAAATTAAATTGTACGAGATGATGTTTTCAACTCAAGATATTTTACACTCAAAATGGAGCAATATGCAACATGGGCAATTCAAAGTTCATATAAACACTAGTTATTTTATGAAAATAATTTCGGTCCAAAAACAACAAAACTCTTACTTCCCTCCGATTTTGGTATCAAATCGGCATTTTAGTTAGAAATTCCCTGAAAAATAGCACTTTTATACTGGAGTTTTTGACGAGCAATCGTATAAACCAACCCTGATGTCACCAAGTGGTCGAAAATTCTGATGGGTCGCGTTGATGTTTCCCTTGAAAATTCGCTTGAAAAAACCATTGAAAATTCGATTCATTAGAGATTCTTTGAATATGCCATTTTGAGGGGGTTTCGTCATGTATATGGCCGCCATTCTTTGTAGTAAGAAAAGCTGTAAATAAGAAAATACGTTCTTTGCAGATGTACAGATTCGAAGTATCTGCAAAGAATGTGTTGTGTATTGATGAAATAATCTATATATCATTGTAACATATGTCATACTAGTTATAGTAGACTTTATAATAAATAATTACTCTTGATCTAACACTTCAACTAAACAGAAGTATTCATTCAAATACATAACAATTTTTCTTTAAAGGGGGGAGATGTTATATATAGATTATTTCATCAATACACAACAGAATGTATTTTGTTATTTATAGATTTTCTTACTGCAAATGGTGGCCAAATCAGTTACGGGCACGACATTCGATGGCGTTTTTCTGGTCAAAAAAATTTAAATTTCCCTTTGTGTCCGATGTACAATATGAAACAGAAACTGGACTGTCAAATTTAAAACGACGACAATGTCCTCAATTTGATACACTTATCTTGTTCTTATTTTTTTGGAAAATTAGTATCAAAAACTACCTATCGAAAAACCAGATTGAATGGATGTTTTAAAAATGCCCTTTTACAATGTATCTTATGAAGAACTAAGTTCCAAAGAAGTCGGTAAGACCCTTTATTATCTTTAATTTAACGAAATAACCACTATATATTGAAAAATCGATTGAAACAACAATCAAGCTTAACTTATTTATTTCAACAGTAGGCATAATTCCTTTGAAAGAAGCTTTTTAAATGTCATTTGGAAATTTTTTTTTCGTTTTTTTTTCTTCCTTCCTCTTTATACCGCTCACGATTTCTGTAATTCCTTGTTCTGTTGATATTCTTCTTGCAATTTTCGACATTTTCTTTTTGACTGAAAAAAAAAGTAATTTTGCTTCCTTTTTCTTTTCTATTTGTTGTGTATTTAGGAAAAGACGTCTACTCAATAGTACTGTGAGAACCAAACTATTTTATTTTAAACTCAATCAAATACAGTTGAATCAACGATATGTTGATAATCATTTCACATGACTACTTCGATATTCAACACTATTTTTGTCGATTCGATATCTTGACGTTGATTCCACCTTCAATAGATAATGTAAATGCGTTACTAGCCATAACAAGTTCACGATCATTTTCACATTCGAAATTGTAGCTTTTCAATATTGAAACGATCGCTGTTTTGGTCGTGACCTTTCCCATACGGAAACCTGTTGAAACCAGCATAAATCGGTCAATTGAAATAAAAAGATTGGTTAATTATAATTTCGAATTCAATCGATGCGATGGATTCATGTATCAAAATACGCACCAATACACGCTAATAATTGAAAAGAAAACGTTGATTAATTATAACTTTGAATGCAATCTCGGATTCATGTATCAAATTACGTACCACGAGGACCATCACCAAATGGAATGAATGCATCTGCATTGTACATGGGTTTGTCGTCCGAAAAACGATCGGGCCAATAGTTCTCTGGATCAGGGAAGTATTGGGGATCTCTCATCAGACCAAGCAACGAAATGGCAACGGGTGTTCCTTTGGGCACTATTAGGCCCAAGTTATCGATTCGATACTCCTTGGTGCAGATTCGGTTCAAGAATGGCAGCGTCGGATACTTTCGAAAGGATTCTGGAATGAAAAACCATTTTTTTTTCAATTTACCAGGAATTTTCTCAGCTTTTTTTCAATTTCATGCAACGATTTTCAATTAACCTTTAACACACATCTCCAAAAATGGCATATCGTTGATGCTTTCATACGTGATGGCGTTGTCGTGTTTGGCCAACACGCTATCGATTTCATTTTGCAGTCTCTTCTGAAGCTCTGGCTTTCGCGACAACTCAAACAGCGTATAGGCTACAGCTGAGGCGGTGGTATCGAATCCCGCCAAATAAAATAAGCCCACTTGAGCCGCGCATTGTTCAATTGTAAGCGATTCTACATTGGATTCATTTGTATTTGTTTCATTTGCCCCCGATTGGAATGCATCGTCGCTACTGAGTTTTCCCGTTTTGCGCAATTCCATCAGCAATTGAATGAAATCCCTTCGGAAAACACCATTTTGTTCACGATATTCCATTGTATTCTTCACAATTCCAACCATGTAGTCCTGGAATCGCTGCGACAACCACGACATTCGAAGGATTTCGAGGAGTCTATGACAAAGATTACATTAGTATCAATTCGATTGACTTTAATCTAATAAGTATGTCGTAATCAAATTCATCGATCGCATTACATAAAGAATGCATCAAGTGACTGTAAACCGTAGCATGTATCGAATAACGATGAATAAAACCAAATTAATTCCGATGTGCATAAGATGAAACTAATACTAGTAAAATGAATGAAAAAAAAACTTACTTTGGACAAAAGAAAACTCCAATCAGCCTTATGCGATTGATAAAACCGCCATCGCTTACTTGATTTTCAATTTCACGGAACGAATGATTTGGATCATCGATTGAATTCACATCTAAGCCAAAGCCAACCGTTCCAATCACATCCATCCCATATCTATTGGATATGAAAAAAAAATGTAAAACATGAATTGCGACAAGATTAAACGATGACTGTATATGGCTTAATTGACTAAGTTCACTTATCAGATGAAACGAGAATGACCCACTTTTTCGTGGAATTAAATTCAGTTTGAAATCTATTGTAATTGATTAACATTTGTCATTTTAAGAAAAATTGGAGCACAAGAATGACATTTTTTCAATTTTCTTATTTACTTGTCAGGTCTTGTCAAACATGTAGGACCTACATTGTAGGTATAATGAAAATATGAAGAAGTTAAAGGAGTTGAATTCATTTTTTAAGAAACAAAAATCGTTGTGCAGATCAACGACATTCCTAAATACTTCCTTGAAACAACTTTACCTTATTGTAAAATTCTTGATGTCGATAATTTCATTGTTATCGGCCAATGGGGCGAGTTTTCGTCTAAGATTGTCGGCAATTTGAATGATTGTTGGCATCATGGCCTTGAGTTTACCAGATCTTGAGTGAAAACGAATAAACCATCGTAAAATTAGTCGATAAATGCTGTAATCATATCATATTTACGAAAATGTTGGTGTCAGCTTAGCTCGCAATGATTTCCAATCTTGTCCTTCTTTCACGAACAAATTGTCGGCAACTTGATCATTTGGATTATGATAAGATCCGCGGTCATAAAAGCTTGTAAAATCTGTCTTTAAAATATTTTGAACGAGACTTGCATCACGTACCATTAAAGCGGGTCGAAATAAAAAGTAAACACCTTCAATGGGCTTCTTTGAGGTACGATGAAGATCGTATAGCTCTTTGCCAAGTGATTTTTGCCCATGCCATGAACCCGACAGATTTCCAAACGGAATCGACGGTTTTATATATGGGAAATTCGTTCCTTCCCAGTAACTGTACACACGCTTCAACCACAAGTACAAAACACTCAACACGACAATCCACAAGTAAAACGCAATCATTTTTTTTTCTTGAAATAAAATTCAATCGTTTTCATCCAAAACCAAATAATACATCAAGTAACTGAGATATTCTTTGTTCAGCAAGATCGGCATTTATACTGAGCTCACGGAAGGTTGAACATGGATTTTTATTCTACACAGTGACGTGTAAGAAGCTACAGAACAGAGTGAGTTTGTTCAGAGAACATAATAAATAAATGAATGATAATATATTTCAAGCATTGCATTATAATGATCAGTTCAGAGATCAAAGAAATAAAGCAAGTAAAAACCGTGTTAACGACCGGACAACAAAAAATTACCACATTACAGTTTTCAGCGATTAAGCATTTCTCGGCTCAATGTTCAAAATTTAATAATCATGAATAAAACACCAATTGGTTTTACCTCGTTAAACTGAGATATTCTTTGTAGCAAGATCGGCATTTATACTGAGCTCACGGAAGGTTGAAAATGGGTTTTTATTCTACACAGTGACGTGTAAGAAGCTACAGAACAGAGTGAGTTTGTTCAGAGAACATAATAAATAAATGAATGAAAATATATTTCAAGCATTGCATTATAATGACCAGTTCAGAGAACAAAGAAATAAAGCAAGTAAAAACCGTGTTAACGACCGGACAACAAAAAATTACCACATTACAGTTTTTAGCGATTAAGCATTTCTCGGCTCAATGTTCAAAATTTAATAATCATGAATAAAACACCAATTGGTTTTACCTCGTTAAAAAAAGCAGACGTGTGTTGAAATTAATTCATATTTTAATGTAATACACCTTACAGAGTTAAACGATTGAATATAAAACCAAGCTTCACACAAAGACTTTATTTATCTGTTTAAAAATGGTGAAATCTAAGCTAATTCTTCATGTGGATTTAATATCTGGTCAAATAACTGAAAAATGCATCAAACCCTTTAGACTATAAGTTATAGTAAACGTCTCCTTAGATCATAATTTTTGAAATCACTGGTGTGGTGTTTTGTGTCTAATTTTTGACGAGGAATCGATTTCTGGTTCCATGAAGTGGACACCGGTTTAAGTGATTTTTGTTTCGGAGTATACGATTGTTTCAAAGGAAAATTCATTTTTATTCATGAGTAAATGACGGCCATGACCACAGGATCCATAGCAAAACCAACTGAACAAACGATATTTACTTCCGTTGCCTATGCAATTCAAGCATAATGCCTTACGAACATTTTGGGTGCCTACATAACCAAGTCGAGTGATGTTTTCACATATTTTTTTAGCCTCATATTCGATTGGTTCGATTTTAACTCTAAAAAAATCGAATTTTGTTCTATAAGAGGTTTCACATGGTGTCATCAAAGAAATTTCAGATCTTATTAAGATACATCATTTGGTCAAAGCAACTGATATCGGCTTCCATGATATTTCTCTCTCTTCCGATTGCAGCATTGTTCACCAAAATATCCAAACGGCCAAAGTGGTTGATAGTTTCGACGATTTTCGAATTTTCAGTAACATCGGCTACGATTGCTAAAGGCTTGCGGGGAGTTGTCACCTTTTATTTGTTTAACGATTTCGTTTAACCCCGTTGCATTTGGCCATGAAATAGAAATTCGAACGGTTATCAATATTGAAATGCGTGATTTTTGTGTTTGTAATTAAAATTATAATAAATCTATCGTAAAACATCCAATTGTTACAATTGAACAAATAGACTGATCTTATGCAAAACTTTTGTTTTTTTTATCATATTTGAGAAGAACACGAAAAAATCTTCCGATATGAATAGATAACTTATTTGTATTTTTTTTTAGGAAAGTGGTTTATTTTGAGACTATGTTACAATTTGGATGGTTTACGATATTATTCTGTCAAAATTCTAATTTGTTATTGCTTCAATTATTTTTGCTTACGTCAATTGCTTCAGTTGTTATTAGGATGAAATTGTTCTTTTCTTTCTACGCAAATTCAGTTCGGATTGATTCAAGATTAAATGAATTTGAGGTGTTCACCTTAGGTGAGCTTCATAATATGTATATATTGACGTCGTGATTAGTAATTCTTTTTGAATGGAGACTAATAGAGTTATTAAGCCAATCAATGAAGTGTAAATCACAGATGATTATGGTGCAATTGCCACCAAATAGAAATTTCTGATACAGAAATAAAATAAATTAAACACAAAACAAAATGTAGGAAAAATTGAAAATGTCTAGTTCTGAATATCTGTTTTTAATTGTTTGCATTTGTTCACTTTGCTAACTAAGCCAATTAGCATAATTATATTTGCCTGTTCTAGCCTCAACAGAATTGAAACAATAAATCGTTCAATTACATCAAACTGGATTTACACAGCTGGATAAGGGAATGAAGAGAATATTTTGCCTAACAGTATTTCTATTCAGGATTTGTCATCGTTTAGAAACATGAAATTCATTGTTTCATTCATATTTATCAATCGTAATAAACCACCAAAAATGATCATACTCATCTTTGATCATTTTAAAGTCGAAAAAAGTATCCTTTTCATGACTCTACTAGCATAGAACTTCACAGAGTCTGTGCAATCCGGCTACTTAATACTCGGTTGTGTAGATCATGCATTCAATATGAACTTCATATTGAATACAATGCGTAATATTACTCTACGGCTTGAGGTTTCTTTCAAGTTCATTACTTAAATTCAAGAAATGTAAAAACGTAAAAACTGAAGCACATTGAAATTCAGTGTGTTTTGACAAAACACGATGTCTATAACCTGATTATGAGCATTCTGTGTTAATGGTGATAGATTTGACACACGAATGGATTGAATGAACTGTATAGCAGCGATAAAAACTTGCTCACGCACACAGTCACATTCTTCTCAGTGAACCCAAGTGTTGATTGGCTGTCATTTTTGCACTGCTGATCGGCTTTTGAGTAATTCATAGGTAAAATGCCAAGTACAAATCATAATTTATCAATCATCGATTTATTTGCGCGCCGCTTATGACCATGACAATCATTATAACCTATCATCATTTTTGTAAAATTTGTTTTGATTTCCAACTATCTGCATTTTGATCAACACGCCACGCTGTCAATGACGCCATGAATTAAATAAGTGGTCGATTATCACGACGATGGAGCAAAGAAGAACATTCGATGCTTGAGAAAATTAGTCTCGTTGCAGCAGTCATTTCGATCGATTAGAAATTTACTTGACGGTTTACTGCACCACAAGTGACAAAAGAAAACTGTTTATTACAACATGATAATATACATTCTGCATTGAAACAACATTTTTGGTCACTCGAAGTGCAGATTTTACTTCTCCGTTAAACATGTTCTGCTGGGGAAAGCACTGGTTTTACTCTCCAAATTCGGATGACATCTTATCACGCGAACTTCATTTCAACAACTATATTGCTACTCTTGTAAAATAAAATCATTTAGAATCTTTTTCCAAATCTTGAAACATCATAATCAATTCAATTACCATGTAAAAGTTTCTTTATCCCGTATTTTCACATAATGATCACAAAAAAGAGTGTTGAAATACACGGGAAACCAAATTATTTTTTTGAAGGAAATAAAACACTAGTTAAATTCCATACACGTAAAAATTCGGAAATCCGAGGAAGACAAACTCGGCAATTTTATGGAATATTGTCGCCAAGAAAATTCCCAAATCTGTTTCTGTATATACATTTATTTCTTGGCGATACACTCATAGATACATATCTCTATATACATTGGGGCATTTTAGCGAATTTCGGCTTTTACAGCTGGAATATTGTACAGAATCGTCCCCAGTATCGAATGGAATTGGTATTTCATGCATTTCACTTCTTTTGGCGTGTGGACGTTTTTCCGCATAAAATGACAAAAATACGGAAAATTCGTTCTAGTGTACTAGCTAAGGTAAATCGACAATTTCTAACATCAAAATTAACCGGTCTAAATGTCATACATGACGATTTATATCGTTGGGAAGCCCTTATATTGCAGGTAATTTTACAGTTTATTTGGTTACAGTTTGACCAACTTACGGATTAGAGACTCATAATTATGAGTATTCGAAAATGTTTGCCGTTTTGCAGAAAATGACTTTAATCGCATTGAAATACACGTAATGTAAACAGTCCGGTTCAGCCCCTCCATTAAATTATGATTCTTAATCCCCTCTTCCCTCTCTGGTAATCAAAAGCGAGAACTCTAGGGGGAAAGAACTGAATAAATGAAAATGCCTGTGAATTTTTATCAATATTACTTTTAGCAAATATACCAATAGAACCCGTGAGCATAAAAACAACGTATTGACTCTTCGCCGATGAATACGAAACGCAAAAAAATCGCCGAACAAAGTGAAACACCAATCTGTTATTGGATCAATATGAAGCATGAAATCGTTGGCTACTATTTTATTCACGTTGCGCTTCGTTTCGAAGCGCGGCAAGTGTTTCATTTTGTTCCAGTAACAGAACGTTGTATCACTTTGTTCGGCGACGCGCTCAATGTACTGTTTTGGAAAAATATGCATGATTTGATATAGTTTTGAGTCCATTGGTATGATGATTCATTTTAACACAACACCCATTCTATTTCGCTCACACTTACGTGCACTTTAACGTTGCTGAAACATGTACGTTCTTGTTTCTTTACTGCGCACATCTTTTTAACAGTAAAGCAGACTACTTTGTTATACGGGTAAAAATTGCACGTAAGTGTGAGCGAAATAGAATTGGTGTTGTGCGTCCGTGTTTTGGCCATGTATAGATTTCACTATATAAACCAATGTATTCACAGCGGCGTGAACCCGCGTTCCGAGGATTTCATACAAACTTCCCATGTAGACGATCCGAAATAGGCAACAGTCGAAAAAAAAAGTTTAAATTTTTTTTCGATTTTCATATAGTATTTTTTTCTGCTCTATTGGTGTTATCGGCACATCGAAATTCGCGCTCCTTATCAGTTAATTTTCACTTCATAGACAAATCACGACCAAAACCACCATTAAAATGAATCATCATACCAATGGACTCAAAAGTGTATCAAACATTTTTGTTTCAATTAAAGTGAAACACAATTTCTATAGTCAGCCGATATTTCACGATTCACTTTCAAGCGAACAGAATTTATGTTGCACTCGCACAAAACTATATCAAATCATGCATATTTGTTCAAAACAGTACATTGAGCGCGTCGCCGAACAAAGTGATACAACGTTCTGTTACTGGAACAAAATGAAACACTTGCCGCGCTTCGAAACAAAGCGCAACGTAAATAAAATAGTGGCCAACGATTTCATGTTTCATATTGATCCAATAACAGATTGGTGTTTCACTTTGTTCGGCGATTTTTTTGCGTTTCGTATTCATCGGCGAAGAGTCAATACGTTGTTTTTATGCTCACGGGTTCAATAGTTCTTTTTCCCTAGCGAGGACCTCTTTTAAGGTCTTACACTAGATATAATGAATTTTCAATCCGATTTCCTTAAAGACATTATTCATTGGAGGAAATTTACACTGAGTAGAATCGATTTTCAAAAATAAGTTTTCTCAGCGCGAAAACTCCCGATTTCACGGTTCTGACCGTGAACCAGTATGATTGAAACATACGCAGGCATTCGAAATTTGTTCCTTGCATTCGCATGTATTCGTAGCCACTCGTATTTTAATACATAAATTCAAATACATTCGCAATATTCGCGAGAGTCATAAGACCCTAGGCATTAATCCACTCACACGGATATATGAAATAAGATTTGTTTAGTCTGAATCGTGGCGTTTTTGTTAATTTGCCCATATTATATATTTGTATAGTAAAGGGTTGACTTATCGAACGGATATGGACTTTTGTAAAAAAAAAATTAATAAAAATGAGGGACCTTTACTGGAAAGACAACTAAAGACAAACCGTCTCCATAGAAATAGCCACTTGAATGTTATTTCTATGCAAATTCATGCGACAATTCGATTTTGCATTTCGTCTTGATGCATTTTATTTTTTGAGGTTTTTTTTTTATTAATTTTTTCTTCAATGTATTTCCTTCAATTTATTATCAACACATCAACATTTTTAGAAAGAAGAATTAAAATAAACAAATCGATGAGCTTGTAAGTTCCCTAAAGGAAAAAGTTAGAACAACCGGAAGATTTAATGAGCTAAAGTACAAATCAGGTTGAATATTGGTTTGATTCATGTATTGTCAGTAAATGGCTTGATTCAAGCAATTCCGTTATTATGCACCATTGTAAAATTGCATCCAAAACACAAAAAACTTGAATAAATGAATGAATTACTTTGCAAATGCACATAAGAATAGATGCACTAGAATCGGGTCGAATCCTGTGACTCCATGAATCATACCAAATTCCACTGGATTTTCAAAGCATTTTCTTCGCTCCAATTAGTTCGGTTGGTTTTGATGGACATGCCACCATTTTTCGTTTTAATGATGATTGCCTCAAGATTATTGCCGAAAGCTTTGTGTATGGTATTTCGAACAAGAGTGAAAACACCACCGACGCTAGATAAATGTAGACATTAATTCCAGTTGTCATTACCACCTAGAAAAACAATCAAGAAATGAATTAATAAATGAGGAAAAAAACTGATTCGACCATATCATGTGATATACATTCTACAAACCATTGAAACTGGATCGATATGCGTGCTGTGATCTTGCCATCCATATACCAAAATGATAACAACTGGATTTAGCAGATAAATTCCATACGACAATTTGTTGATGTGCACGAAAATTGGATGGTTTAGAAACTTGGCAAAGCGGCCACCATATCCTGCATGACTGGCCAGAATCATCCATGATATTGACGCCGGATACAAAATACGCATGATTGTAAGCGCAAACGCGGTCGTAACATACGATGTGTTAGGGTTTATTGTCGATTTATGGCAAAGAATAGGAATTGTTATCATCACGATCCAAGTTATTTTGATGGTTTTCTTAGAAGAAAATTTTCAAAAAATGGTTTCGTTACAAAAATTGTCAATGTTCTTGTAAACCACTTACTTCACCCAAGGGCAATTTACCCTTCATCATGTACATGACATAGCCAGCTGCAACTCCAACAAGATACGGAAGGACTCGTGTCCATGGCCGAATATAAATGTCAGATAGTAATGAATGAAGAACATCATAGGAGAGTGTGAATTTTATAAAGATGGAGACTGAAAAGAGCAAACCAACGCATATTGCAAATAGCGAACAGAACATTAGCTTTGCTGCATTTGGATATCTGTTCGAGGCGAGATAAATAGAATTCAATTTGATATTTTATTGAGCTTAATTTTCAAGATTTTAATCATTTCAAGATGAAATAGAAAAAAAAATTACTTTGCATAAATGAACAGCAATGCGGTTGACAAAATGGTGAATTGCATTTCGCACGCCAGGTACCACGACCAATTTACACCCATTTTTTCTAAACTAAAGAAATTTTGGATATACAATAGATTTCTCCACCAAAATTCACTGCAGTTTACATCGTTTCGATCATGAATCCAGAACGGCGATGTTTCTACCAATCGCAATGTTATGATTTCCACACAGCCAATAACAATCAAATACATTGGCGTCAGTCTGAAAATATTCCATGATTGATATTAATAAATATATGAACCAATAAGAACCTGATTGAAGTGCACTTGTAAAAGATACAATTGAATCCAAAAAGTGCATATTTGCTGCTGAGCATGCCCAAGCTGAGCTGAATTTATTGACTCAGGTGCCTGAAGCATTATTTTAACACACCTTAAGTGTGAAACCCATGATGTACATTTTTCATTTTCAGTAAAGATCTACGTTTTTTATCAATTCTATTAAGATGGATCCCAGCTACTAGCAGAGAAAGAGAACGAACATGTCCGATAGCCGACGGTAACACCATGACCGACCGAGATCCGACAAATCTTCGATCGGGCTTTAGAACTCTGTCCGCTAGCAATGAAAATTTTACACCGTAGATGTGTTAAAATAATGCTTCAGATACCTAAGTCAATTCCGTCTAATGCAGCAAAATCCCATCTCGGAAAAAAAAAATTGAATAAAGAAATAAAAGTCAGTAATACCTTATGTACCGGTTTAGCATCTGTTTTCCAAACAATTTCAAATTTTGTAAGAGATTATTGTTTTTAATTTCATTCAGCTTCGATTGATTGAGCAGAAAATTGTATGTAAGCAGAAGACCACTAAAACGCATACATTTTGACAAAACAGTTTGAAATATGGGCAAAAAATAAAATAGAAGAAGAGCACTCAATAGCTAACCTAATGGTAAAGAAAACATCAATAATGGTGGATGCTGTCATAACCCACTGCCACAAGGGCTGCTCACCATATGAAAACATCATCGCGGCATTATGCACCGTAAAATGATTGTACCAATACACATGTAAAATCACAGCCGAAAAACAAGCAATCGATCTGCAATAAATAGTTTGATATTAAAAAATTACAATTCACAGCGAGTTCATATTCGAATTTTGAATAAAACAAAATTCGATGTACATACTTTAAACCATCAACGATGGGCACCGCATTGGCGGGCGTTTCAAAATTGGTAAGCATTTGAATATTCTTTCGCAGCGAAAAACATTCGACAATTTCATCGAGGAACAGATTCTTTGGTGCACTGATTTTGGGACAGTCTGGTGGAGTTGAAGGAGAATTTTTAACAAGGCCAGATGACACGTTTCGTGTTTCAATGGGGTTCTCTGTTTTTGCTGCCTCATCATACGCACTGCCTTCTCTCATGTATCCGATCACCATCATTAACAATGAGAAACCCACACAGAATCTGCAACAATAACACCATTCAATTCAAATATTTCATTCACTTACGAAACGTCCGGAAGTGGTCATGTGCATTGTGACAGATTGTCGTCAATCATTTTACCCAATCAATCGGAAGCTCCATTTATCCATCAAATTTGTTTTGGCATTAAGATCCTTAACTTGCAGCACATTTGGCTGGTGATCGTGCATAATTTGAGCGCTCAATATGGATGAATCGAAGAATTCTTGCGTCAAATTGGCAATTTCACCATTGGAACAGGATCGGGGTAGACAAAGCCCCACATGAAGTATTTTCTATGAATTTGTAAAGAAAAGAATCAGAATTATCTCCACATGTTTATTCATAGAACAATAACATGACCATTCGGAACGAAATTCCATACATTTGTCTCCAACAGGAATTCCACTTGAACTTGAAACGGCGAACGATGCTCTGCGTAAACCATTCGATAATCGATATCAAATGGTGCAGTTGCCGACCACAAATCACTATGTGCAAATCGTTTGAAACGATTTGATATTGTGAGTGGTGGTGGGTTTTGTACCGCGTGACAGCCTTGTATTGAACCCATCCAAAAGTTGTGACCAAGAACGAATCCGGGAACTGGCATTGCAGACGAATCCAAAGCTGAATGAACAATTGATTAATCTTTTTCGAATATTCTGGGTGAAAAATCAAATCATCGGAAAGATAAGCCGTTTGATTCAAATGAACTCTCACACATTTAACGTATACAATGAAGTTTTCCAAAGGATTTCTGGGTTATTGCTTACCTTTTATCGCCCATATTTCCTTCCGATGAATTCCATCATAGATTTGTTTCAATTCTCGGTGGCATTGGTGTGTCGCTTGTGGACGATTTGATGCTATGTCAACAACGCCATATAAAATAGATGTTGATTTTAGGCGATCGAATTCATTGTGCGATGCTACGAACTCTGTTGGCTAATGAGCAAGAGATATTGAGGTGAGTGAAACAGAAACGACCGCGTTAGAAACAAGTAATTCGATACTGATATGATCCAATAAATGAGATCGCGGCAATAATTATTTTGCTAGAATAATAGCAAAATTGGACGTAAAATTGCAAAGTCTCATCATTAGACATATGGTAGCATCGATCTTTGCATGTTTTTAACACGATCGTTGCTGTGTCACTCACCTCAATATCGCTCGCTGCAACAATAAATAATTTGGCAGCATTGTGGCCAATTGGCGCCAATATGGTGGAAAAATGTAACAAAAATACGGACACTTTAAGATTCATAATCTAATTCGGCAATTCAAATAAAGGAAAATCATAGACTTATTGTGCACGGAAAGCACTCAAAACCGAATTAAACGTTCGAATCGTTTGCTACTAAGTTTTTATAATATATATCGTGATAAAACTGAATGCGCCGAGGCGAAGATTGGTTTGGTAGAAAATTTAGAGACTTCACTTGATGCTTTCTTCTTAGTTCGTTGACAATAAATTAGCGACTGTTCCACTAGATCACTTGATGTGCTGATATTTATTTTATTTCATTGATATTGAAAACAGGAAAATCCAGATAAACATTCTTCGCCTATGTGTTTTGACCACAATTTTGTTGAATGTCTAATTCTACGTTTTTCAATATTTCTTTTGTTTGTTTACAAATCTTTGACTAGAAGAAAGAGAAAACATCGAAAAATAATTATTTCATTTGATACAACAACAACAACAACAACAACAACAACAACAACAACAGATGTTTAAAGAGCATATTTATACCTTTCGGTGTTTGAATTAGTGCAATTAAAATAAAGTTAATTAGTGTGTGATTTCATTTAATAATAAGAAACAAGTTGATAATAATTCATTTGCAAGGTTAGCATGTACTACTATTAAACCCCAAATATTTTCGTCAAGAAGACTCATATTATTTTTTTACAAAAATGCAAAAGTGGTGTGTTGGGTTAAAGGCGTTTCCGAAAATGGTTATTCGTTTATTATTATGTGAAGTTTCGCTCTTAATTTATTTTTTTAAGAAATACTGAGGAAACTATTATCTTTTCGTCGAAAATGAGTCTTACACCGATTTCCTCATAAAGTTTGCGTTAAATCGACAGTTAATGAATTTTTTTATAAATCAAGAGAGAATCACTTGATCAGATCATCTATGAATCCTCATGACGAAGAGATAGTTATGTATCTATCAATCATGCATTATTAGTTCATTTGAAATGTACGATCGAATTTGCTTCGAAAGAATCCAATGAAAACAATTTCATTCCATTAAAAACTGAAGTAACGGACGTAGCTTTGACGAAGGTAAAACAAATCAAGGTGTTCACCTTAGGTGAGGCTCATAATGTAAGATTGATTGATAGATAAATAATTATTTCGATGAATGGAGACTAATAGACCGATAATAATAAGCCAAACTAATCAATGAGGTGTAAATTATAGATGATTATAGTGTAACATTCTTATAAGAATGGCTTGGACAGAATCATAGATTTCTTATGACCAATTAATTATAATTAATAGGTACTGTTAACATTGGCCAAATGAAACTCTCAGGTCAGTGGAAATACGCTTTAATGAGCATTTGAATGTATTGAGCATAGTGAAGTGTCAAAGCCTGCGTTTGGCGCTCATGCGATTTCGTAAAAAAATGTAGCAACTGGCAATGTTGATGTCGTGAATAGTTTCAGACTGATGAGAGAAGACTTAACGCCTATGAACGTGCACTGTGCACACTGCACACTGCACAGTGCAATATGAATATACAAAACAACTAGAAGACAGATTTAGATAACGGCAACATTGATTACGTTTGGCTCTTTTCGTTTACATAAATGCTTGACCATATTTGAAATCCATTGCTTCAAAACCAGCTATGAATTCATCGATGGAAATGAGAGCATTGAGCCATCTTTCCACCAGCTCCAAAGTTGCTATTCCCTTGAATGCCGAAAACTCATGCAACCTCGCTCACAATTACGTGCAATTTTTATGTGTTTTATAATTGGTTGACAACCGATAGACTTGCATTTCTAGCGCCACTTTTGAGCAGGCCATAGTGTTCTTGATATTCATTTGCTATCGCCGATTTGTCACCATTCAAATGAAGTCCCCGCTTTATTTCTTAGAACGTGTTTCCATCAGTTGCTTGCGACAATAGTACCAGTGCGGTCGCCACGGGAATTGGAGAGACGATCATATTTCGATTTGATTGCTACGATGCAAAAGATTTTCAAGTCATTCATTTAGAAGTGTCTTTCGGTTTTACTCAAAAATACCTGATATAAGTTTGATGTAAATTGGGAAATTCCTTTGGCGACTTCATTTGCTCGAACGTCTGTGGCAAGTGCGAAAAAATCGCAAACACAATCATCAAGCGCAACACTTGAATTGGGAGAAGAAAAAAGTTAAGGAAACAATTGCTCGTGAGTCATTTGGGTAATGAATAAAATAAATACTTTTTCTGAAATGATCTGGAGATGCGTTTTACTATCAAGTAATTCGTTCACGTATTCAGACACAATGAATCTATTTGCCAGTGTCTCGATGTCTCTTTATAAAAATTACGATCGGAAGAAAACAATTGGAGTTGCATACAGCAGCAATCATCAAATCAAGTGCTTTTGTTATTTTTGAGTGTCAAATTTCGTTTATTATCAAAATCATGGGTGAGATTGAGAATAGAGTATATTTCGCTGGCTTTGTTATGAAAGAGTAGAGCAAGTTTTTTTCCTTTTAAAATTTTTCAACTTGAAATAAATCGGACTAACATAATAATAAATGTTACTAGGTTCTCCTTTGAGCCCCCAAAATTTGATTAAAGATCGTTCTTGTTTGTTTCACGATTTATTTTATTATGCTCTGTTTTACAGTTTTGTTACGCTATTTATAATATTTTGAAATATATAATAGAATTTGTGACTTATTTCTTCTCCAAACGATGAACTGTTTTCATGTGTTGATTGGCATTGCTCTTGTGGGTAAAGCTTGCTGAGCACACTTCGCATTGAATTCGCTCTCCGGTGTGACCTTTTCGCATGTGAATCTTCAACCTTTGTTTGCCTCGACGATGCTCTTTGCACAAATGGCATTGATACTGACGGTAGCCACAGCTATCTTCATGAACCTCTTTTGCATCTTCGGTTGCGTATCCTCCGAAGCATTTGGAGCATTGGAATGGGAACTGGTCGCTGTGTGCTGAAGACAAATGCTGATTTAAATACATCTGTTGGATGAACTTCTTTTTGCAAATTCCACATTCGATCGATCTTTTTGCTCCGTGTTTTCCTTGCATGTGCCGCTTCAAATGACCCTTGTGAACAGTTTTGTAATGACACTGATTGCATACAAAAAGGCTTTGTTGGCAGCACGTTTCATGAGCTTGCCTAACTTCCAGAGTGGCGAATCGTTGACCACATTTGGAACAGGCATTCGGCAGTTCATCTTTGTGAGTCATCGAATGACATTGAAGGTCAAAGTTCTTCGAGAATGATTTGGAACAAATGGAGCACTCGAACGGCTTTTCCCCAGTGTGGGTCCGCATATGTCTTATCAAATGTGGTTTGTTGATCGTTCTATATCCACAAGTGTTGCATTCGAATTGCTGTGAACTACATAGCCTTTCATGATCGATCTTGACTGATTCTTGCTCAAATCTTTGGTTACATTTTGAACAATGGAATCGGCCATGCGTTTTCTTGTGACGATATAAAGCATCTTTTCGTGCAAAGGACTTCGAGCAAACATCACACTGAAACGGCTCTTCTCCAGTGTGAATTCGTAAGTGTACTTTGAGGTTGGAATTGTTACTTGCCAAATGATTGCACACATGGCATTTGCTTTTCTTTTGCTTTTTGGCCGCTTGATTCCTGGGAATCGTTCGTTTGCTCTGGTTTTTTGATGCTTTATTTCGCTTCTTTCCTCTGCCGACTGGTTTCGTAGGTTTAACATCGATGGCGTCACCAATTGGCTCTTCGTTGTCATCATCGTTGGCGGCGGCGCTGTCATCCAATCGTTCACACGGTGCCGATTCTTTTTCTCTGCCCGTCTCTTCTTCTTCACATTTGACCTCATCTTTGATCTGATCGAAGTCATCAGCAAAATCGATCGGTCCTTCGTAATTCGCAAGATATCTTCCATCAACTGTCGGCCGTGGTATGTTAATGTCATCGTCACCGTCATTGAGCTCTTCTTTAATCACCGGCTCTTGCTTGACTTCAACCTTTGTGCACTTTGATTTGCGCTTGCAGCGTCTACCAGAAACACCTTTGAATGGCTTCATTTCCTGTTGGATTCGGGAAAAAATATGAAAAATCAATAATGAGAACTGATTCAACCAAATGTAAACTATGCGTGTTTGACTGGTTTATGCAAAGGAAAAGTACACATGCGCACATAGCTTTTTCACTTGAAAGTTGGGTTATGTGTTACCAATTTTCGTGAGCATCTATTGATTTTCATGATTTTTCTATTTTTCGATTGAGTCACAAAATGTGTATACTCAAAAAATGACATCCAAATGAATAAAAAATTAAAAATATTCGACACTCACGTTTGTCGTCGCCTTTTCTCTCTGGAAAATATTTCTTTCACGTATCTCTCAAGATGTCTGCTTCACTCTGTGGTCGACGGAACAATCTAGAACAACGTACAACGTAAACCACAGCATCGAAGCTGATTTTCACACGCTTGCAACCGTGCTATTTGTGGTAGTGAGTTTCGTTAAGTTCTCAACGACGCAAAGTGACACTTCATCTCCATTGGTAGCTGTCAATTGAGCAAAAAGCAGAGCTCAATTCAAAATTATCAGTTAAATTCATGCGAAATGTTCTTTTTTCAAATTCCAACTTCCAATTTGTATGGAAATTGAATAGATGGCAGAAAATTGAAAGCAATTCCATTGGGAACGAAGAGAATTTTGGTGCGTGAAATTTGAATGATGGAAACATTTAGTTGTGAAACAATAACAAACTGATTCGTTGTGTTTATGTTTATGATGTAAACCAATTAGTATCGCAGAATACTATTTTAATTTCTGGCTCAGCAAATGCATACGATTCAGGATGGGAATGAATCCATTCGCGGTACATGCGATTATTAATCACAGTCGACTAACGATTTAGTTTAGGATTTGTCTGAAGAACCGAAAACCGAATTATGGCTGACGAGATTGAATCCATTATGTTTTTGTATTTCTGTAAACAACTACAACCGCATATCACCACTCCAAGTCATTCGTTCATCGATCTATTATTGTTATCCAATCCATGAATTGAACAAGAGTCGCATTAGAAGAGCATGTTTCTGTTTGTAATCGAAAATATCTGGAGTCTGAAGTGTGACATTTATTGGTTAAGTGGCGGCAATGAATTGGGCAAATAGACAAGTAATCAGAAACCAATTCAAATCGAATATTCGAATAATGAGAATTATGAACAATATATTTTGAAGTTGAGACTTTGTAATAAAAATGTACAAACCCGATTCGAATGCAGAGTTGGCCAAGATAATACATATTCCCGGAACCATTTGTTTCTTTCTTTGGAGAAGAGAATTGCTGCAAAAATGAACTCAGAAATTGAACGCAACACTCTTAACCCGTTTTTTTTCTTTTTATTCCGGTTTCAATATTTATTCATGTTTTGTTCTATTTCGATCAAAATGGGAGCTTAAATCTCAAGCGATAACCATGCAGTTTTATTTTGGAAAGTATTGAATGTTATTTGAACCCGTGCGCATAAAAACGACGCCTTGATGTGGTTGTCTTTTATGTGTGAATTATTTTGTAAGTGTCATGAAATATTTGTTTTAATCTTAACTACGTTAATGAATCTAAGTGATGCGTGACTTATTTCTTCTTCAAACGGTGAACTGCCTTCATGTGTCGATTGGCATTGCTCTTGTGGGTAAAGCTTGCTGAGCACACTTCGCATTGAATTCGCTCTCCGGTGTGACCTTTTCGCATGTGAATCTTCAACTTTTGTTTGTCTCGACGATACTCTTTGCACAAATGGCATTGATACTGACGGTAGCCACAGCTATCTTCATGAACCTCTTTTGCATCTTCGGTTGCGTATCCTCCGAAGCATTTGGAGCATTGGAATGGAAATTGGTCACTGTGTGCTGAAGACAAATGCTGATTTAAATAAATCTGTTTGACGAATTGTTTGCTGCAAATTCCACATTTTATCGATCGTTTTGCTCCGTGTTTTGATTGCAAGTGTGTCTTATAATTATTCTTGTGAACAGTTCTGTAATGGCACTGATTGCATGCATAAAGACCTCGTTGGCAGCGCGTTTTGTGTGTTTGCTTATCGTCTGGTGTGGCAAATCGTCGACCACATTTCGAACAAGCCTTCGGCAGTTCATCTTTGTGAGTCATTGAATGTCTTTGGAGTTTTGTGTTGGTTGTGAATGATTTGGAACAAATTGAGCACTCGAACGGCTTCTCCCCTGTGTGAGTCCGCATATGACTTTTTAAGTTTGGTTTGTGCAATGCTTTGTATCCGCAAATATCGCATTCGAATTGGCGTGGATTACAGAGCCTTTCATGTTCGATCTTGACTGATTCTTGCTCAAATATTTGATTACATTTCGAACAACGAAACTGGCCATGCGTTTTCTTATGCTTGTTCAGATCACCTTTTCGTGCAAATGACTTCGAACAAACATCACACTGATACGGCTTTTCTCCAGTGTGAGTGTGCAAGTGTCGTATGAGTTCAGCCTTGCAACGTGCCAAATGATTGCACACATGGCATTTGTGCTTCTTTTGCTTTTTGGCCGCTTGATTTCTGGGAATCGTTTGTTTGTTTAGTCTTTTGGAGCTTCCATCCCGTTTCTTCCCACTGGTTGCGACTGGTTGCGATTGTTGAACATCGGTTACGTCATCCATCAAGTCTTTGTTGTCATCATGGTTGGCAGCAGCTCCGTCATTTGATCGTTCACATGGTGTCGAGTCCTTTTCTTTGTCCATCTCTCCTTCTTCACATTTGATTTCATCTTTTACTTCATCGAAATCATCGTTAAAGTCAATCGGCCCATCGTAATTCTCACGATATCTTCCATCAACTGTCGGCCGTGGTATGTTCATGACATCGTCACCGTCATTGGGCTCATCTTTTATCACCGGCTCTTGCTTGACTTCAACCTTTGTGCACTTTGATTTACGCTTGCAGCGTCTACCAGAAACACCTTTGAATGGCTTCATTTTCTGTTGAATTCAAGGGAAAACAATATCATAAATCATTGAGCCCTGTTTCAATCAAATGTAAACTATGCGTGCTCGACTCGTTTATACAAAGGAAAAGTACGCATGCAATGTGCACTCAGGGCGTTTGTTCGAATATTGGGTTATGTATGTGTAACCAATTTTCGTGAGCATCTATTGATTTTCATGATTTTTTCTATTTTTCGATCGAATCACAAAATTTTATATTCAAGAAGTGACATCTGATCGAATAAAAAAAAATTCAACACTCACGGATGTCGCCGCCTTTTCTCTCTGAAAAATATTTCTTTCACGTATCTCCTTCAAAATGTCTGCTTCACTCTGTGGTCGACGGAACAATCTAGAACAACGTGCAACGTAAACCACAGCATCGAGGCTGATTTTCACACACTTGCAAGCGCGCTGTTTGTGTTGGTGAGTTTCGTTAAGTTCTCAACGACGCAAAGTGACACTTCATCTCCATTGGTAGCTGTCAATTGAGCAAAAAGCAGAGCTCAATTCAAAATAATCAGTTAAATTCATGCGAAATGTTCTTTTTCAAATTCCAACTTCAAATTTGTTTGGTAACTGAATAGATGGCAGAAAATTGAAAGCAATTCCATTGGGAACGAAGAACATTTTGGTGCGTGAAATTTGAATGATGGAAACATTTAGTTGTGAAACAATAACAAACTGATTCGTTGTGTTTATGTTTATGATGTAAACCAATTAGTATCGCAGAATACTATTTTAATTTCTGGCTCAGCAAATGCATACGATTCAAGATGAAAACAAAGCAATTCGCGGTACATGTGCTTATTAATCACAATCGGATATCGATTTAGTTTAGAATTTGTCTGAAGAATCGAAAACCGAATAATGGCTGACGAGATTGAATCCATTATGTTTTTGTATTTCTATAAACAACTACAACCGCATATCACCACTCCAAGTCATTCGTTCATCGATCTATTATTGTTATCCAATCCATGAATTGAACAAGAGTCGCATTAGAAGAGCATGTTTCTGTTTGTAATCGAAAATATCTGGAGTCTGAAGTGTGACATTTATTGGTTAAGTGGCGGCAATGAATTGGGCAAATAGACAAGTAATCAGAAACCAATTCAAATCGAATATTCGAATAATGAGAATTATGAACAATATATTTTGAAGCTGAGACTTCATAATGAAAATGTACAAACCCGATTCGAATGCAGAGTTGGCCAACATAATACATATTCCCGGAACCATTTGTTTCTTTCTTTGGAGAAGAGAATTGCTGCAAAAATGAACTCAGAAATTAAACGCAACCCTCTTCAGCCGCTTTTTTTCTTTTTATTCCAGTTTCAATATGTATTCATGTTCTGTTCTATTTCGATCAAAATGGGAGCTTAAATCTCAAGCGACTATGCAGTTTTATTTTGGAAAGTATTAAATGTTATTTCAATTTCAGGTGCATGCTCGTTATTGCTATTCAGTGACTGTCTTTCATGTGAAATTGCTTTGTAAGTGTCATGAAAGTTTATTATTAGTTTTAAGCTTAACTACGTTTTAATAAATCTCTAGAATTTGTGACTTATTTCTTCTCCAAACGATGAACTGTTTTCATGTGTTGATTGGCATTGCTCTTGTGGGTAAAGCTTGCTGAGCACACTTCGCATTGAATTCGCTCTCCGGTGTGACCTTTTCGCATGTGAATTTTCAACCTTTGTTTGCCTCGACGATGCTCTTTGCACAAATGGCATTGATACTGACGGTAGCCACAGCTATCTTCATGAACCTCTTTTGCATCTTCGCTTGCGTATCCTCCGATGCATTTGGAGCATTGGAATGGGAACTGATCGCTGTGTGCTGATGACAAATGCTGATTTAAAACAATACGTTTGACGAACTTCTTGTTGCAAATTTCACATTCGATCGATCTTTTTGCTCCGTGTTTTGATTGCATGTGCTGCTTCAAATGATTCTTTTGAACAGTTTTGTAATGACACTGATTACAAGCAAATGGACTTCGTTGGCAGCGCGTTTCGTGTGATTTCTTATCGTCTGGAGTGGCAAATCGTCGACCACATTTCGCACAATTATTCGGCAGTTCATCCTTGTGCGGCATGGAATGTCTTTGAAGATTAGCATTTGTTATGAATGATTTGGAACAAATTGAGCACTCGAACGGCTTCTCACCTGTGTGAGTCCGCATATGACTTTTTAAGTTTGGTTTGTGCAATGCTTTGTATCCGCAAATATCGCATTCGAATTGGCGTGGATTACAGAGCCTTTCATGTTCGATCTTGACTGATTCTTGCTCAAATATTTGATTACATTTCGAACAACGAAACTGGCCATGCGTTTTCTTATGCTTGTTCAGATCACCTTTTCGTGCAAATGACTTCGAACAAACATCACACTGATACGGCTTTTCTCCAGTGTGAATTCGAAAGTGTATTTGGAGTTCAGCGCTGCAACGTGATAAATGATTGCACACATGGCATTTGTGCTTCTTTTGCTTTTTGGTCGCTTGATTCCCGGGAATTGTTTGTTTGTTTCGTCTTTTGGCGCCTTCATTCCGTTTCTTCCCGCTGCCAACTGATTCCGGTTGTTGAACATCGATTGCGTCATCCATGGGGTCTTTGTTGTCATCATAGTTGGCGTCGTTGTCATTCGATCGTTCACTTGGTACCGAGGTCTTTCCTTTGCTCGTCTCTTCTTCTTCACATTTGATTTCATCTTTGATCTGATCGAAGTCACAGGCAAAGTCAATCGGCCTTTCGTAATTTGCACGATATCTTCCATCAACTCTCGACCATGGTATGTTCATGACATCGTCACCGTCATTGGGCTCTTCTTTAATCACCAGCTCTTGCTTGACTTCAACCTTTGCAGACTTTGACTTGCGCTTTCTGCATCGACCAGAAACAACTTTGAATGGGTTCATTTCCTGATGGATTGAAGAAAAAAAAATCAAAAGGCAAGTGTCATAGACTTATTCTGACAATTTCCATGAAAATGCTATGTGTTTTGTCTCTTTCAGAATAGAATTGCGAGATTCTGAGCTTAATATCGAAATAAATGAAAAATATTTAACACTTACGGCTGTTGATGCCTTTTTTCTGCTGAAAATTCAATTGATTATCCCTTGCGTGTGTCGTCTTTCAAAATGTCTGCCTCACTGTGTGACCCATCGAACATTCTAGCAAGCTCAGCACCACAACCAGCGGCATCGTTGCTGCGATTCACACACTTGCGTTTATTTGTATTGGTGACTTGTGTCACACTTGTGTCAATCAATAGCTCTCTTTTGAGCAACTTCAGAGTCCGATTCAAAAATGCCCGTTAAATTCGCGTGGAAATTTATTTCACAAATCTAAATTTTATCGAACATTCGGAATTATGATCTTTTTGTCATTCGCATTAAAAATTCATGATGTCTGAATTCTGTTCAATGGGCAACAGACATTGAAGTAAAAAAATTATTAATTCAACCGCCAATATTCATCGTCACCTGTATGAAGTGAATTACTGAATAATTATTGTGCCATTGACAACGAAACGGAATGAATGGCCAAAGATCGCAAGCGATGTGAATTAAGATGGAAACTTTTGGTGCATTGCATTACGTTAAAGATTCAATCACTATGCTTCAAACCAACTGTGGAAATATAGACCTTCAAAACTCTGACATCCCATCACACGGCATCGAAATTGCGCATTTACAGCGGAAGTTCATACAAAGTCATACACTGTATGTCATACAGTAAAATAACGCAATAGTGGGATTACGTGAATCTAAATTGCTTATGATTATTTGAAGAAAAAAATCATTTGTGCAACTGTCGCGAGCGACTCATATCGAGACGTTCTACTGTAATTGAAACAATCAATTGTCAAACAACAACAAACTCATTCGTTCTGTTTATGTTGAAATGTAAACAAATTAGTATTCAGGATTGTCCGATATTTTTGCCTTGCGAATGCGATGATTTCGTTTTGTTGAGCATCGATGTTATTCAAAACTGATTGACGACTAAACCATATTGGATGTTTTTGGCATTTCTCACATCACACCTAAACTAAAACCACTAAATGCTTAATTCAAGGAACACGTTCGTTTGAGATGAGCATCAAACGCGAGAGTGAGATAAAATATTTGAATCACATTTGTGATTAGGGTTTAAAAACGCGTTAATTCGTTTCAGTGTTTCGAAAAAACGTTATTTTACAGAGCCGTTAAATAACGCCCAAAAAACGTTATTTTCGTTTTTTATCGTTATTTCTGCGGTATTTTGAACTGTCAAAATAAAACACTACAGAAAAATAAAGTTTTTTTTATCACCGTTTGCGGTATTTGTCGAAACGGTTGTAAACCCTACATGTGAACATGAATTATGCGACGACTTGCAACGGCCTATTCCTGAAAAATACAATTGAGCACGAAATTGAATCAAAGCTAATGATATTGAATTTACTAAGCATTTATGTTGCAAAAGTGTAAAATCAAATTATTAATCTGTAAAATCTAGGGGAATATCACGAAAAAAATACTATAGAATTTCTATTGATTTTTTAAATTTTTTTCAAATTTATTTCAATTTTAATACATTATGCGAGATATCTGAGATTTTTTCAGATATACCGCGGTATTGCGGTCTGCAAAGTATTGTCATCGCCACAATGACAACTATTTTGACCGCACGACAATGAAAATTATAGTGAAAAAATAAATTTTGTTAGTGACATTTTGCATAGTGAATCGTAAGTTTATCATTTGAAGTTCTGTGTATTTTTCAATACAATATTCAAAATTTCCATAAATATCCATAGATATTTAGTTTTGAAAATTTGACAGTTCGGGCGTGCTTACTAGACGCCATCTTGAATTTTGATATTGAACATATCTTCACAAATCTGCAAAAATTCACATTTATCTTCAAAATTCATACAATTGCGCAAGAAACCGATAGTTTGGAGCTGGAAATTCACCATATCTGTAATACTCTGCATATGTCAAAGTATTCAGCAGAATCTCACATGCTGAATATGAGTAAATAATACAGATTTTGCGAAATATTTGAAATAACATTGATTTTATTGGATTTGTATGAAATAAATGAGATAAAAATAAGTTTTGTGAATAAAAATTTCGTGATATTCCCCTAGGTTAAGGAAATATAACTTCGAATGCATCGATGATCGTGAGCTGGTGATGAACAATCATGCCCTGACATTGGCTGTCGAAAGTGGTATTAATTTGAAGATATCCCACCGAGGCATGGTAGATGCACTTTGAAGCTCTGAAAACTTGACAAATATCAACCAACGAAAATGTAGCGAATTCTAGAATGTTTCCATCTTACAAATAAAGAAAAAAAAGTAAAACATTGAATTTTGAGTCGTTTTCTTTGTACTCATCAATTTTTATTTCAATTTATTTTATCATTTATTGTAGTTCATCTGAAACAAGTTCATTGAATTTTAAATATAGAAAATTTGTTTCACAAAATTTTTCATCATCATCATCATTGTTTTGTTTTTTCTTTGTTAAAATACCATGAAAAAAGTTGATAGTAATTGATTTCGCGTGAAATATAGTGAAAAAAGATGATTCCTCAGTACGATTGGCTTTTTTTTTTATTGTATGAACAGTAAGAAATGAAGTGCAATGGAAAAACACTCTCTCGAGAGATTAACATGATCGTCAAATAGCGAAAAAAACACGTACATTCATTTCTTGTTTTAATTCGATTTTCGATAGATAATTTCATTAACACCTATAAAAAAAATGTATAGAACTTTTTTTTGTTTAAATCTTCTTGTTATTATTCTTTTTGATTGGTTCAATTTTTAGTAAATGTCATTTTTTGTTATCTTCCTCAAATAGTAAATATTTAACGACAGTGTTTGTTTGTGTATCGACGGCATTTCCAAGCGGGGGAAAAAAATTACGATAAAATCTAGAAATTTCATGTTACATAACATTTACAATCACTTAAGAAGCGCGTCAATTTTTCTTTTATTTCATAATTGTACATTTTATTTAGCTTAGACATGTTTTGGTCGAATTGGAATCAATGTTCAAAATGTTCATGTTTTCGTTTTGATTAGTTTTGATTTTAAGTTGATTTTTTCTTTTAATTTTTTTTTCTGCAAATTTCCCATGGAGATCATATGTGTGGTTGTAAGCATTGCTAAATGCTAAATACAAATAAGATTTTTGTTTGTGTATATGGCTCATTGAATGGCGGTATATCAAAAGGGGATCATTGGGTGGTTGAAGGAAAGAAAACGCGGATCTAAACACAGGTTTCGCTATATACCTGCCTAAATATTTATATATATAAATGTGAATAAAACACATACACACACGAAAAAAATTTGATATAATTGACTCTCTTCTCTTGACTAGCTAAAAGTGTTTTCCATTTGAATATATGTATATATTATACTGTTCTCGCATTTCTGTCTCTACCAATAAAACAAATTGTTCCTAAGTGTCTCTATAATTCGTCTAAAATCGTCTCGCACGCGTACCACTGCGCGTCAATGTTATCGTGCCATTAGTGAGTGTCTGTGTGTGTATGTTTTTCCCGTAAATCGCGTAAGCAGTTTCGATTAATTTCTACCATATATAGTTTTAGTTTCATCTCTGTCATTTCACTTATTCTACAGTTGAAGTGTTTGTGTGTATGTGTATTGATAAAACTCTGTTTGTTTTTTTCTTCTTCTTCTTTGTCGCATTTTTCTAATCACTACTCATTCCCAAAAGAAAATCCATCAGCTACTACTTCCTTATGCATCTCACTACAAAATAAGTCAAACAGCTCTGTGTTACTCTTCTCCTTCTTCTTTTTGTTGCTGTAATATATATAAAATTCATTGCTCATCAGCCAATTTCACTAAATTCTCTAATAAAGTGTATGTATACATAATTGTGTGTGTGTGTTTGTATATAAAGATCATAAATATCCTCTCTAATGATTACTATTTCGCAAATTAAACATATTCGATACACTCTCATCAACTACAAAACCATAGGCCGAATCTAATCATCGATCGATCGTTTGTTTGTTTTTACTGTTGTTTTTCTTATCTCTTTGTTTCGTTTTGCTCTATTCACTACTTCGCTCGGCGTTCAAGTTACATTTTTGATACACAGTGAGAAAAAGATGGGACACTTGCAAACCAATTTGAAATTCCATTCCGCGGCTTTTCGATGAATAAATTTGACATTTTGTTTCGAGCATTTTTGCGCTAACTTCAGTCAATTATGGAATTCGATGACTTTACTTTTGTATTTTATTATTACTTTTGGAGAACCGTTTTTCGTCGCTTTGAATGAAATCAAAAGAATGAATAGAAATTTTTTCAGGAAAAGTTTCTTTTTGAAGGCGAAATTTATACAGAATCTTTACATTTTTAGAATATCTCATGTTTTTTCAACATAGGTAGAGGAATTATTAATATTCATTATTTTTCCATGAAATTTTCACATAATTCATTATATTTCAACTATTTGAATACGTATTACTGGGGAAGTCTAACCAAAGATTTTTTTTCATATTTTCTGCCAGAATTGCATCAAATTTGAGTGAATTCTTCAGAAAATCTTCTCTAATTCGCAGATTTTTGGTCGATCTTAACAATTTGTTTGAAAACCCTTGGAAAAAAATCTTCGAAAAATGCTTGATGTTCAATAAGTAATGTATTTTTGTGTTCAAGTTTGGTTTTGTGTTTAAATTTTAAACTTCAAGATATTAATGAATCATCAAGAAGCTTCAAAAATCTTCCAAACAATTTTTAAGACTTCAAAAAACTTAAGAAAACTGCAAATAAAAAACTTTTTTAAATTTGCAAAAATCTTCAAAGACAATTCAGAAAATTGCAAAATAGGTAAAGAGTTTTCGAAACTTGCACCAAAAAAGAGACAAATTAAGTTGCGAGCAAAAGTAACACAAGTCAGCATTGAGCGGAAAAGACGTTTTTTGCATTTTTCTCGCTACTGGAAATAGATAACGTTTGGGTGTCTTCGGTATTATTGTAGAAAATATAAAGAACTACAAATTAGCCGAAGACATTCAGTCGCTATCTCTTTCCAGTAGCGAGAAAAATGCAAAAAAACGTCTTTTCTGCTCAATGCTGAGTTGTATCACTCCTGATCGCTACTTTATTTGTCTCTTTTTTGCTCTAAGTTTTTTTCCATCTTAGGCATGGATAAAGAGCTCATAATTTGTTCTTTCATTCTATGGGTCTAATATGTTTGATATCAAACATTGTTTGATATTGGTTATTGTGTTTAACTTGCAAATGCTCTGTGAATTTGTTCTCTATTCCTCTAACAAAGTGCGCGAAAAATACTCGAAAATGGTACCACATCCATGGAATCACCACCGAAATAGGAATTTCGATTGGTAAAAAAAAATTGAATGTTGGCACTTTTTTTATTTGTATTTCAGCATTTATAAATATTTTTTGTCTCTGAATCAGAAGATTTGCTCATGTTGACGTATTTAAAGGTTAACTGTATTGAAACTTTGTTTTGGTTTACGTTTTTGGTTTTTGTTTCTGCCACTATCCTATTTAAAATGATACTCGATTTATAGAGAAGATAGCATGTATGCCATCGATCCAAGCGCGCGCGCAAATTTATACATAAATATATGATAAATAAAGACTCTACTTAAATGCACACATTCCTATAGTTTGCTCACAATTTCTCACACGCCATACAGTTTTTCTTTCATTTTTTCTTGGACGCATTGAAATTCATAAGCATTTTCATTGACAAAGTCACATACATATTACGAGTGTGTTTTTTTGGTTTGGTTTTGTTTTGTTTTATTCACAATAAAAAATATCGTTAAAATTTGTTAACCACCGTGTTATAACCGTGGAAGAATCATTACGTATGTGCAATAACGACCAAAATACAATTTTAAGTGATTTATTTGTTATTTTCTTGTTTTAACCGATTTGATTTGTCAATGGGTACAATTTCATTTGTTATCAATAGTCTAATTTATTCGGTGTCAATAGAAGAGGAAATTCAGTCGTATCACACGTAAGAAAAAGAAAGGGAAATAAAAACAATTCGTTTCGAACAAGGAGATAGGAGAAATCACAACTAATTATTTTTCTTTTTTCATTCGTTTAAATAAGGTGTCTTTGGAATTGAATAGTTTTTTTTTTGTTTCACAAAAAGGACGACATATTTAAAGTTAACATAGGGGGATTTTATTTCACAGCAGGCAGGTAACTAATTGACGTTTATCTAAAGTATTTTAAACCAGCAACTAATAGAAATTTCTCGATAAATAGCTCGGAATCGAGAACGGCTATGTGCGCAGCACGACCAATCAATGCATTAGCCGTATTTGGCAGCGCATGCTGCACATCGTAACGGATGAAGGTTAAATCGGGACGGGCCAACATCGGTGACAAAATATTGTGGATCATTTCACTGTAACAACGAGAAAATAATTTTGTATGAAAAAAAAAATGTTATTTGGTGAACGCTGGCTTATTTGTTGGCTCAAGCCATGGTTTGGCTTTCACTATTTTTTCTTAACAAAAATGAAAATTGGGTATCGTATTAAAATTAGAATTTCAAATGAACAGAATCAAGTATTAAAAGCAGAAAAGATCTAGAAAGAAAGAAATTATTGACAAAAAACCTAAGGCTCTTAACATGGTTTTTTCTTTACTAAAACGAGACATCACAACGAGAAATCACAAACTAAAATATAAAAAAAAAATCCCGGAAAAAAATCACATAAAATGTGTTGAAATGAACATCAATACTCACCGATAAACCGCTCCCAAAATTGAGTTATCACGAACAGCTGCTTTGCAGAGTTCCATGCGGGCCGAATGTGATGGCACGTATCGATCCTGGCTGGATCCGCACAGCAGTACATTTTTAAAGTAGTGTAAAGTGCTGACCGTGCTCAATTTGTACAGAAAACTTTTACGCAAATCGGATTTATCACGTAAAGACAGTTGCAATAATGAACTAGACTTTTTCCACTTCTGCATGAACCACATACCTATGGGGCATTGCATAATCATATTACATAGAGCTCGGGAAAATTGGAAAGATGGGAGAAGAAGAGCAACAAAAGAAGAAAAAAAAGAAGAGCGGAAAAAAGAGAGCTTGTGGCGCTTTGTGTATACTGTGAGTATCGAGGGGCAAATCACTCTAAAGTAATTTGTAATAGAGAAAATAATCGAGAAAGTAATTTACGTGTAAAAATCTCGATTACTTTTACTTTCTCTATTACAAATTACTTTAGAGTGATTTGCCCCTCGGTGAGTATACCTACACACACATAGAACCCGTTTTTAAATACGTATAACATACCCATATTGACTAAGCCGCTACTGTTGAACAGAGTGCCCAAATGCGGGCCGGAGAGTGACAGGAATGTGTGCAATCGAGGCAAAATGGGACGAAGCTGCGGCCGTGATAATGCCGAACGTACAATTATCGTGCCCAAAGAATGCGCCACAAATGAGATTCGCGTTGGATTTAAGCCACAACTATCGATATGATACAATATCTCCGACACCAATCTAATCAAATTCAGACAATGGAAGAAAAAACAAACACACACAAGAATTCAATTGAGAGAAAGAAAAATGGCATTGAGAAAAAAAGTGGACGTTTTCCTTTTAATCGATTTCAATTAATTTTCCGAATGAATTCGATTTAATTTTGTGCGACAATCGAACGTTCTTTTTAGGATTTTTAATGAATTAAAAAAAAAAAATGAAATTTAAAAAGCTTTTCCAGATGGTGGAAACGATGAAGATTGTTCAAGTCATAAAAAATCTCCAAATGTCGGCGGAAAAAGATGATTTGTTCAACAAAATTGATTCAATTCAAGGTCTCGTCGAGAAAAAATAATTTGGTTGAACCAATTTTTAGCTCAGAAATGAAAAATCATTTCGAGCATGGACTCGATTCTTCGAAAAGACCCGTCAAACATAGGGACTTGGTCAAAAAATACACTTAAAAATTCAGAAGAAAAAAATCTGCCCAAAAAAACGTTAAACTTTTCTCGGAGAAATTAAATCCAAAAATGAAAAGAAATCGTTCGTAAAAGGTTCCTTTACAACAATCTAAAATGCATTAAAAGTTTGCACTTATCGGCAAACAGCACACACACACACAGTAAAAAAAACACACAACGATCACTTACCGGTCAGTCATCGTTTCGAAATCGGAAAATGTGTCACCCTGATTGCGTTCGGACATCAAAAATTCCAAATTGGCACCGGGTAGACCGAGCTCCAAATATGTGCGCACCAATCGTAAATCGGCTGAATTTCCATCCAAACCATGAACACAAACGATTAAATGCATGCCATTTGGCGATAGTGCTCGATATTCATCGTTGATATGGAAATATGGTAGTTCAGATGCGAATTTAATGAAATCGCAATACATTTGGCCGGAATATTTGATTTGCTTACGAAATTCGATGCGACACTTTTCGAATTCCATAAGGGGTAGTGTGACTTTGGTCTGTTGTTCATTCATTGTGTCTTCATTGTCATCGTTGGTGTCGTCATCGATGCCGACTCCGCCATCATCGATATCAACTTCATTGTCTGTTATATGCTCAACAACGGCAGCTGGTAGTGCTTGAACCACATCAAAGGTGTCCATTGTTCGGTTGTTAAATTCATTTTGATAGGAAAGATCTCGGTTGCTTTGTGATTTTATGATATTTTGTCGGCGTTCCGTTACCACTGCGTCATCATCGTCCGCAAAATCAATGGTATTGGTAGTAGTATCTTCATCATCATCATCATTGTCGGTACTATTGGTTGAGCTGGTTTCGCATTGCGTTGACGGTGGATCACGAAATTGGTCGGGCGGTGTCAATAAATTCAAATTGAATTCGGATTTGGATTTTTCCGATAACATTTTCCCACGAATACTATTGCTATCTTTGTCCGTGTTCAGTAGTAAATCTTTGCGTATGTACAAATGTCGTTCAGGTAACGGTTTTATTTCAAACCAATCCTCTTCTTGTTCACATTTAATGTTATCCATTTTGAAATCTTTGCGCAAAATTTGCTGCCGTTCAACTTGCAGATATTGGCCATTGTTTGTTGACCATCGACGCTGATTCGAGCCACATTTTTCACGTTCCGAGTCCGATACATTCAAACTTTTCTCACTCAAATTCCATGGACTGGCAGTGTCACTTATCACCACCGGCCAGTTAATCGATTGTGACGTAGACATTGTCAACACATTTTGCAATAAATTCGGTAAACTTTCGCTGCCCACCCGGGAATTTCCATTGAAATTTTCCATTCGCAGCGGTACACTGGACGATAGTGTTAGCTTTCGTTTTCGTTTGCTCACTTTTCGCACGGGTGACGGTTCATTTTCCGAACTACTCGATATATTCAATTTATCCGTGCCATTGTTGTTGGTTACACGAAAATTCGATGCCCGTCCATTGAATAGCTTATTGGATTTTTTCAATTGTATCGGTGGATTTCGTGGCATCACTATTCGCTCCGATCGCATAACATACATTTCATTCTTGCCATTGCAACGCGCACTTTGACTCGTCACCTTCGCCGGTTCGTTCTCCTTAAACGATTCGTTGTGCAGCAACTTTTTCGAACTGATGCTATCGTATGTGATTGCCTTTGAACAACCTTTTTTCGTCGTCGACTTCGTCTTCAACGAACTGCTACGACCATTCGTATAATCACCATTGGCACTTTTTGTTCGTTCCAACATTTTATGGCCGGTGATTGGAAATTCATTGTGTGCCATTGCCTGCATTTCATTGCGTCCATTATCGTCTGACAGTGATGTGAGCTCGCACATTTCAGCATTTTCAAGCAATTCATTTTCATATGGTATTAAGTGGGCACCATAGGCAATGCCATTCGACGTTGAATGCTGATGATGATTGTTTATCGCTGACAATTCCAATTGATCGAGTGATTTGCTGTGGCGCGTCGATGGAAATACCGTGCCATTGCCATTGCCATAATCGTAAAATAGACTGGGATGCAACATGGCATTTGAAACCGGTACCGAATGCCGTGCGGACATTGTTCGTTGCACCAAATTATTGTGAGCCGACGGTGTGATGGTGAGACTGGCTTGTAGTATATCACCACCAAGGGCGAGACGCGGCGTTAAGACACCAACATATTTACCATTGCCATTGCTTACACCATTCGACCAATTCACATGCATCGGACACACACAATCACTTTTGCAGCAACCATGCGGCGCTTGCTCCTCGGAATGCTCTGTGAAATCTAGTACAAGAAATGAAGAAATTAGCAATTAATAAAAATACTGGCAAATTTATTGTTTGATGAGTAGTAAAAAAATTAAGACCCAGTGAAATGGGTTTGATCGAAGAGATTTCTAGTTGACGCATTGATTATTTTTGCTATCTCTTCGATTTGATGCGACAATTTAAAGATATTTTTCCACTCATTCACATGACATTGAGCTAAACACGTTGAATTTTTCATTGCATTCCGACTATCTAACGTTAATTCAAGTCTCGAAGAGGTAATAAACGATTGTTTTCTTAGAAAGATACACTTTTTCTTCCTTTCTGCCAATGATTTTGATAGTTTTTGCTTGAAATTTATAAGTTTTCCTATTTTTTCATTAAAATGGTGAGATTTTGTCGATAGATAATGAGTACCCAAATTGAAAAATTGGCTAAATAATCGTTAAATCATCAGAAATTTCGAAAAAATTAAGGAATGTTCAAAAAACAGTTGAAGAATCAATGAAAAAGCCATGTATAGACCAATAGACCGTGAAAACCCACTAGAAATCGACGATAAAAATCATCAATCAAAACCCCATCGATTCAATCGATATGGATTTGTTTTACGCTTGACTTACGTTGAGTATTTAACGATTCAGTGAGTCCTTCGTATTTATCTTCGAAAATGAGGGGTAATGAGTTAGCATCGCCATCAATTGGGGTGCAATGTACAGGCAAAAGTGGGAGGGAATTGATGTATCGCGATCGTTTGGCCGCTTCATAAATTGCATTGTAATTGTGATAATTGGAATCGTTGCACATTGTGGCCGTTTGACGTGCATTACTTTTCACAAAAAATCCTTCGGCAAATCGTTTCACGCGCAGCGTATGATGTCGTTTGGCCAACAAACCATGCACCGATGGTTGGCTCGCTGCCGCCAATGTTCGTTTCCAACACAATGAACAATCGTCACACAGTTGCTTCAAATCGGCTCTGGCTCGTTGTAGAAAATTCTCATCAGAATTGCATTTCTGGCGAAGAAATGGGGCGAAAAAAGAAGAGAAAGAAAATGGATAACATTAAAATGCTTATCATTTTTTAATTGCGATTGATTTTTTTTTTCTCTGCTATTTGTATTCATGGCCAACAACATACCTTTGTACGGTTGGTTAATTGTTCGAGTCGTTCAGACGGATTTATATTGCTTGTTGTTACACTTATCAAACCGATCCATTGTTTTGGTAACACGCAGCTAAAGTCGGTTAAATTGGTTTTCAGCGATTCCAATACTTCAATGAGTAAGGCACAAATTTCACCATGCACCTGTTTCACCAATTAGAAAATCTATATTGAATGCAATCAATACACACAGTGCAGCACACTTTCTATGGATTCGATGGTAAAACCAAAAAATTGCGATGGACTTTTCGTTCTTAAACATTCCTTGAATTTGGTTCAAATGAAATTAATTTCGAATGATTTTGGTGATTTAACGGAAAAGAAAATTTTTAATCCGAAAAAAAGAACGATTTGATCGACAAATAATTTCCACTAGAAAAAGAGACGATTCTGATTTCAAAAAGATGGTTTTTGATTCAAAACAGTTTTTTAACTCGGAAAATGATTTTTCTTTGAGAGAAATCCTTCAGTCAAAATTCTATCGAATTTGTAATTAAAAGTAGTAGTAGTGATGCATTTATAGCGAGTACCATCTTTTCGGTGTAGTTTTGGACCACCCATGAAAAAATGTAGACCAGGTCTACAGCTACATATATTTTGCCATAAACTTAGTTCATGGTCTAAGCTCGGCAAAATACAGTTGCAGAACTGGTCTACATTTTTTTCATGGGCATTGGATGTATAGTCACTATGGAGTGTCATAGTCACTTTGGTTTTTTTTCATGTTTACATCAAACAGATGGCATTAAGGAGTGTAATAAATGCTTTAGCACTAAACCTATGATTGGAAGTAAGAATGTCTTCAATATGAATTCAACGTTATTTTCGAGATTGAATTCATTCTTCGCGAAGTTCGTCGAAATTGCAATTTGGTTTTTTTTTCTTTTAGAAAATATACAAAGAACTATTTTCAAGAAAATTTCTAAGCATTTGAACCGAATCCAATTTTTGGTGGCTGTTGAAATTTGTTGCTTTGTTGTTATATCTATGAATGTGGCTGTTGTATCAACCCATTCAAAGAGTCAAACATTACATGAAAAGTGTACGCGAGTGACAAATAAAGAAACGGAAAGGAAGATAAAATCACCTGTTTGGTGAATGATAAGCGATTGGATGTTGCATGTTTTGACGGTTTATCGATATGATTTGATGAAGTTCCACCTCGACAGCTTAATCTTCCGTTCCATGTTTTTGAGCTCTTTGTGAGGCTGGTGTGTAGCCGTATAGCATGGCGACATCAGTAGCAGAAGTAGCAGCAGCGGCAGCAGCGGCAACAGCAGCAGTAGATTGAAATGTGTATTAGTCATGCAAAAGCGGCGCGATGCATGAACGAGAACGAATAAAAAAGTTTGTAATGCATCGAAATCCCCAGAGACAGACACACAAACACACCGACCGACCGAGCGATGGTTGAAACGAGAAATTACGATGGGAAAAAGGGAAAAAAAAACATGAAATGAAAATATATCAAAGAATTGGGCATTTTTGGCAAATGGCAAAAGTTGTTGCGAAGGCAACGAGAGAAAACTTTTCACGAGTTGCACATGAATGAAGCGCACATACATTTCTCGTTTCTCTCGGTTTTCCCATTCGTTGTTCCACACACAAACACACATTTCTATATATATATGTTTTTGTTTCCTTCCGCTTTTCTACCTACCTATTATACTGAAACGATATTAAACTTGCATGCAAGCTCAAGCTAACGGAAGCCATGTGAAAATAATCGAATAAAACCGGCAAATGATAGTGAAGACCACGAATGGGATGAAAATTCAACTGAAGCGTACGTGTTGAGACCAGATTGAGAGCGATACCGGGCGCTTGTTCGCCAAACCATAATTCAACGTTTAATGAGAATTCGGCACGCTCAATCGATTGACGTATATTCTTGCTATCGACTGTTATGGGTTTGTAGATGTGTGTGTGTGTTTTTTTTTGTTTATGAACAAACAGCAGAGAATAAAAATGAAATCCAGATAGAGAGAGAGAGAGAGACAGAGAGGAAAAAACACAGGAAAAAGAGAGAGAGAGAGAGAAAAAACCGTTATAAGATGTTATTGCTCCCATTCGAATCGATAAGTTGGTCTATGGCATAACCGACCAAAAAAAAGGGGAGACGCAAAAATTTACCTGGTAACCGTACTCGGAATAGGACCGTGTCTCGGAGTATCACCTCTTCATTTCGATAGAGAATTTGAAAAATTTTCGATGTACCCGCGCCCCGTATTACCGTCGCCGATGTTATCTCTTTGTTCAAACTCTCCAAAACACTCGCTTCAATCTGCACCGATATTCGCGGTGACACACGCAACGAGCATCGCACTTGATAGAACCTGAAAGTGACAAATCATGTTGTTTCGGAAGAGGATGAGAGAAAATTAAAACCGACACACGCATATATGCACACAAAACGATAAATATGATTTTATTGAGAGAGAAGCAGCGGGGTGTTATTTCATAAGCGGCTAGATAAAAGCATCAATCGTTGAAATATGCCACCCGATTTTTGTTTCGCTTGTGTCTGTTGGATGTTTTTTTTTTTCATTCTCCGGCACATATAATCGGGTATTTTATAAATCGAAATCATTGAAAGAAAATATCGTCGCATTCACAAAATTGTGGGTATGCGAGAGAGAGAGAGAGAGAGAGAGAGAGAGAAAGGGAAAGAGGAAGCTTGGGCTTGTGTGTGTGTGTGTTCATAATTCAACGAAGGGATATATGAATTGAATTGGAATCAAAACATAATCCGTTGAACACATATCCCAAGACAAAATGCACTGTAAAATGCCGACCGATTTTTTTCTCCACTCCACTCTTTAGAAATTGTCGCTGTTATTCGTGCTGCTTTGCAGAAAGTGCCACCATTTTTTTTAATAATAAAGAGATATTGAAGTTTTATGTTCGTTCAAATGTAATCCCTTGCACAAATCACAAATCTGGCCCCGGATGGATCGATGAAATGTCGATGTGGGTGTAAGAGTGATTCTCGATCTCGACGACCCACAAACTACACGATCCCACACAAAATCTTTCCAATAAGCCTCTACAAAAAGGGGGCACACATATATATCAATTTTGACGAAAGGATTTGATTTTCACCAAATTCAATTGTTTCGATTGCATATTATCTGTACCATGTTTTTCGAATCAATTTTTTTTTCGATGTTGCCGTTATTGCTAGCAGCAATTTGAGACTGATGAAACTTTTTTCTGTTGTTACAGCTACTGGTTGGAAACTGATTCGATATGATTTCATCATCGATAATCATCAACAGAGTCGCATCGTATGGATTCTTAAAGCGAATACTACATAGTACATCGCATTTACTTCAATCTCCGTCTCTTTCTCTCTCATTTTCTCCCTCTCTACCTATCTATCGATTCGTTCGTGCGCTTTTTTTGCACTTTAAATCTCGTTGCTTCGTTCGATTTTTTCAACATTAAACTGCATTAATTAGAAAAAAAAAAGGCAAAACATCAAGAATAAATTTGAAAATTCAGAAAAAAAGAGAATCGAAATTGAAAAAAATTGAAATGGCGAATGGAATAATTGGAAAATGGTTTTATAAAAAAACGATGAAAGAACGAATCAATTAAAAAAGTGACGACAAAAGTAAACAATGGAACAAAAAATACCGCAAAAAGCGAACCATCGTTGCAAAAAGTCGAAAAAATCACTAAAAAAATTTTTTAAAGTCAATAAACCAATTTTCATATCAATTGAGCCAAAAGCTTGAGAAAACACGTGTTACATTGAAACAAAAAAGAAAGGAACTAGGCTCGTTCAAAAAAAAAGAATAAAAAAAAAACCAAATATCAACTCACCCTCTTTGGAATAGATCGACATTGTGAAATTTATAAAATTCAATCGAAAATTCAATGATCGATTCTAAATCGGCCATGTCGTTGTTGATGCGTTGATTGCGAACACATCATTTGCCAATGCGTTTATTCTCCGTTGATCCGTGTTGTTGCTGCGTATTGAATACGTTGATGGTTATTTCAATTTGTGGGGAGGTGTGCTGCTGTCCAAACCTTGGATGCTGCTTCGCAAATTTGTGATTATTATTGTCGATTGATTGGTTGCATTTGCCTGATTCTGTTACGTTGGTTGAGTTGGGACACCGTGAGTGTGTGTCGATATTTTTGATTGAAAAATTTCCCTTAATTAATTTTGATTGAAATGTTTGTGACTAATATCCGGGCGGCCGTCCTGTGTGGAATATAGAAACAGACAACAAAAAAACACATCGGATGAAATGGGGGTCGGTAAAAATAGTTGAATTGTAAAAACGAAGGAGAAGAAGAAGAAAAAAAGCAAGTTCGAATCAATCATAATAAAAATAATTGGATTTGCACACGATTTAAAACGCAATCAACGGTTGTTGTTGTTGTTGCTTTGCTTGGCCTTGTCGCCGCATCGCGTTTTCTGTTGTGTATGCAACAACATTTATACGGAAACACGTCAAATCAGTCGTTATCTCTTCTTCACTCTAACTCTCGCTTTTGATAAATGTAATCAACGGAATAATCTCCTTTTGCAGCGATGACTCAAAACCGCAGGAAAAATTGATATACAAAGCATACACAAATACACTTTAAATGGGGAAAACACACACTGTAACCGAAGCAACAGCAGCACAATATTTTGAACACACAAGGTGAACCGGAGAAAAATGAAAGAGATTTTGAGTGGATATAGTGAGAGAATGACAGGAAATTCGATTAAGTCGTCAATGTGTTTTATGTGTCAATTGGCAAATAATTATTTTGCAACAAGAGAGAGAACGATAGAAAGTGCTAGAGAGGATAGAAAGTGTGACGGAGATTTGGAAGGAGATCGAGTAAGTATCGAAAAGAGATAGAAGAAGATAAGAGCGGTGACAATAAGAGATGGAGGAAGTGGAAGAAAGCAACCGATGATGATAGAAGATTTGCTTGTATTCCTCTAATTTGTTGAATAGGCAACCACCTATCACAAATGATAACAATTCCTGATGACAAGAAGCACACACGCTCTTTCTCTCTCTCTCTTTCGCCACCTACTCAATAATTACTCTCTGTTCACTTCGACATATCCGTGCGGCTCGGGGAAATAAAAGAAAAAAATCCATTCGGAGAAAAAATATGGTGTGCAATGCCACACAAAAGGATTTACTTTGTCTTGTATTTGTTGGCCCCCCTGCGGCGACCAAAAAGCCACCCTCGCTTTGTCTTTCCTCACTCAGCTCCCCGGCCCGATTCTATTATTCTAATTGTTTGTTTGAAGGCGGAAAAAAAGCAAAAGAGATGGCATATTACGATTATATTATTGAAGCACTACAAAGCCATTCAACACGATGGCATTAGATGAGAGAAAGTGTGTATGTGTTGTCGATGGAAATGATATATGTTCGTAACGTGCACCTCAATCGTACATATGTGTCGACAATGAACGAAGAATGCTAAAGAGACCGAAAAATGCTACGCAACTAAAATGCAACAACAACAACAGCAGTAGCAGTAGGGGCAAACAGCAAGAGCAACAGCAACGAGTAGCAAGAACACAAAAATGGATGGGAGAGAAACAAAAATACACCATGAGAACGAGTAGAGAGAGAGGAAGAAAAAAAAATATGGGTCATAAAAAGTGGTTGTTAGAAAGTCGTTTATTATTTGACTCTCTGACGACAGAATATTTGATACGCGATGTTGTTTCAACAAAGTGGTGGCATGACACACTGCTACTTTGTTATACACATCAATCCGACCATAAAAGCAACAACAACAACAATGTCGATGATGGAGTGGATTCAAAAACGGAGTCAAATATGTGCTGCTCTGATTGTTTCATATTAAGCCACGAAATGTCGACCATCTTAATCTATTAAACGTGCCGATTGGCCTCAATCGCATTTCAATCCCTTGGAAATTGCGGTGGAAATCGCCATCTCACTGTCGTTCGCTTTGCGAATCTCCTTCTCATTTCGTTTGTTCTCGTGCGAACATTTTACGGTCCAATGGAAAAAAAGGGCATTCACATACATACAAATAAACAAATACACAGTAATAAAGTAACCAGTAGCATACACACAGTACCACCACCACCAGCCAGTCTTAACGGTTTCGTCTGAGATGGATGTGGTCACAATTCAGTAATTTACATGGAATTAAAGAGAGATGAAGATGGAAAATAAAGAAAAAAGCAGCGAAACGAAAATGACGAGTGAAAATACTGCACTTACACATGCAATACGAATTTGCACGTGAAAATGTTGTATATTATGTGTTCTCTCCGTCTGGATGTGTCTGATTCTCGCATAGCTGCATCGAGAGCGAACCGGAGGGGGTGAGAGCGTGCATTAGCTTAAACACATGTAAATCAGATACTGAGGCTACACTACACCAAATCGTAGCTACTGATGCCTCCACCATTGCCGCTACCGTTGCTGCTGCTTCTGCTGCTACTGTTGTTGTTGTTGTTGTTATGTTTGCTGGATAAAACCCCCGATACACTTTAAGTCGAGACACGCGTGCTGTCGAATGGACGCTTTCCTACATATTTACCATGGATATACATATAAAAAAACATCAGCAGCAGCAGCAGCACATACGAGGAAAACGAAATAACGTTGCTGAAATTTTTTCCATCTATCATTTATCATTTATGTATGATGCTCTTTCTCTCTCTCTTTCTATTTATTCCATGCCATTCTAAGCTCATTGCCCAAAAAAGCGAAATTTTAACTGAAACCACTAGTGCGACGTTGATAAGCGTATTCATTCTATAGCAAAAGACTTTTTGCCAATTACATTGAAATGAAAAAAAACACCACGCAATTACATTCAATAATTCCGATTTGCCGAATCGATTCGAACAGAATATTTGAGCGATAAAATTTTACACATATTGAATGAGGGTGAATGAGATTGAGTGAGAGTGAGAGTGAGAGAGAGAGGGATGAAGGGATAAAGAAAGAGAGAGAAAATCATTGTAAAATTAAATTCAACTCTCAATTTTACGCCACGGCCAATTTTTGGTACGGCAATTAACTGCACGAAATTGCAATCACGTTTGATGGTAATGATCGTTTTTTGTTGTTGTTGGATTTCTTGCCTGCGCTTGAACCGTTACTCTCGTAAATCCTCTCATTTTCATCCACTTTCCCCTCTTCCTCTCATTTCTCTTTCTGTTTTTTCGCTATTTTCTTTCGTTTTTTCGTTCTCTTTCTATCTCTATCTCTCTCGATGTCACTGTCGCTCTCGTTCTCGTTCTTGCTTTCTCTCTCTGCAATTCATGTCTCTTTGTATATTAAATTGAAAAAAAAGGAATCCTGCCTCCGTTTTTCCCATCAATTTCTGCTTCATTTATTTATCAACCCACACATTGGATGGCATCGAAATTGAATTTACAGGACGCATACAAAACATGCGTCCATAATGCGGATTTTCGAACCGTCGCAAATTTACTCTCTGTACTCATCAATGAAAACTTTTTGACAATTTGTAACAACAACAACAACAACAACAACAACATCCAAAAAAACATAGACTCTGTGTGTTTGACCGGGGAGACAGAGCGAGATAGACCGATTCAAAAATGAATATCGCATTTGATGTGTACACTTACTTCATATATTTGTTTTTCTTTTTCGTTTGCTTTTGCTGTTGCTTTTGATTTATTTTCGCCTGTGATGTTTGTTAAAATGCTAAAAATAGAGAGATAGAGAGAGTGAAAGAGTGAGTGAGAGAGAGTGAAAGAGTGAGTGAGAGAGAGTGTGTGAATATTCATTTAGGCAAAAGGCGCGACAGTTGACATCAAGCGAGCGAATAAAAAATATTTTGCACCAAACACCCGGGACAGAGCGAGAGAGAAAAAAAATCAACGAATTTCGCATTTTAAACAGTGATTCGCACTATTTTTCGTGTGGGCATCTCGTCGGGCTATAGTATTTTTCCGTGAATATACCGCAGCCCGTAAATTGCTCATTATTTTCTGTGTTTTCCTTTTTTTCTACCGACCGAAATTTTTTTTTTATTAATGAGTTGCGATAATGATGTGGCATTCACGACCTGGTGCTAATAAACCATCGGTGCGGCCGAACAAACGCACAATCAATCACATGGGACACAAAACTTTCCTATCAAATGGAAGGTAGGGAAATTGTGTGAGCGAAAGCGATAGATAGAGAGAAATGACCGGGGCCATTTCACTCAAATTACAATTCTGTCTCTCAGCACTATCACGACCACAATCACCAAAATAAAACTTGAATACAATTGATTACCGTTTTGGATATTCGACGCACGATGACGACAACGGCGAAATAAACACCGATTTTGTTGTCCACCTTTTCACTTTCTCTTTTTTTGATTTTCGAATGTTTTTCTTTATTTATTATTTTTCTCAATTTTCACACTTTTTGCACATTTTCCGAATAAACAAAAGCAACGATGACAGGAACTAAACGAAATAAATAAATGGTATTCATTCGTCACATTGATACACGCTGTACGATGTCATGACCCGCGTGCGATAAACAAAAAACGACAACTACACTTAACTGAACAATCAACAAACGATTTTTGAAAAATCTACCGAAAAAAATGTCCACACTGGAGAAATGGAATCGGTTTCTGTTTCAAATTTTTCGCAATAAAATACGCAACCGAATAAGCACAACGCCCTGCCTCAATTATTATCGAACGAAGAAAGTAACAAAAATAAAGCAAACCGAAACGAAAACTTTGTAAATTTTTAATAATGATGTGTGTTTTTGCCTCTCTTCACCTTCTGTTCACGATATTTCGCTTATTGAAAAAGGAACGAACGAAAAAAAAACCAAACCACGAACACAAAATGCTAAGTACAGAAATGTTCAGTTCTACACGCTCTGCGATTGAAATTTCTCGGTTGTGTTGTGTGTGTGTTATTGTTGGTGGTGGGCTGAAATGACGAGAAAGCGTACGCTACATGGTGTCAGGCAACGGGTGTTCGATGTGAGACTGAAAGCATTTGGCCAAACATGCACGCAATTCAAGCTCCCAAAGCTGTGTATTTTGCCCGTTGCTTTGCTTTCTTTTCGTGTTGTTTCTCTTTCATTTTCCTTGTTTTATTTGCGAGAGAGCGTGATCAAGCGAATGAACGTGCTGAGTTGTGCGACCGACACACACCGTGAGCGAGAGAATAGAGAAAATCACCAATTTCCTTTTGAGCAAGCGAGAGCGTGTGTCGAAGGACGAGCTTGTGTATTGGTTTACGTTATGCGTGCGTGTGTATTCGATTGTGTGTGCATGTGTATTTGTGCCAATGTGAGCTTGCTGAACGTTGTGCTCGTGCCCATGTGTGTGTGTGTGTGAGAGAGTGTATGCTCTTGCTTCGAAATGTGGAAAGTCGGAAAACGACACGAACCAAAAACAACAACTTTAACGATGAACAGAGCAAAGAAGAAGAAAAAAAACTATACGAGGCATACACGTGCGCAGCTCAAACGTAGTAGCTTTATGACAACTCTGTCAATTTCTATCGCTGTCGTGTGTACAAACTGAACTGGCGACAAACTGAACACACAATAACAAATGAAACACAAAAATAGAGAAGAGGAAAGAAAGAAAGAAGAAAAAGCAACGTAACACAAGACAGCATTACATATTATGCGCGAAGCGGATACATGCACTTTGTATTTCATAAAAGACATTATGAACTTGTACACAGTGTAACACAAAGGTGTACATTGTTTTGAAGGGAAAACGAAAAGTGGCAGCAACACGCATAGAGAGAATGAACGTAATAGTGTCATCATGAAGGAATGTATTGGCCATTTTTGACATTTCATTGAGTCATTCGAGCCGAACCGAGAGACCTGCACTACGATCCATACACACACACACACACACACACACATACACTCACGTTGCCGCCAGTTGTTTCATTGAATATGCAAACGCCAAGAAGTAGCATATTTTCCAAACTACGAAAATACACTTCGTGACCAAATATTTTAGTCATAATAATATGGCTCATATTGCAATATTGAGTTGCTTTGTGGTTGGTTTATTGTTCATCGAGGGAACATGAGCAGCAGCGAACGAGTGAAATGGAAGAAAGCAAACGCGGGACAAGGGAAATTGTGAATATGAGCGATACGAAGAAAAAGAAAGCATGACGCTATGAACGAGAAAGGCAATTGGAAAAACGAATGACTGAGAGAACCAAGAGAAAGAAAGCGACTGAATGATTTAGAAGAGGAAAAAGAAAGCGTGGAAACAAGCAAAAGAAACAAGGGAAAAATGAAGCCCGAATGCAAGCCCGACTGAATTGAATGAAAACGAACAAACGAACGACAGAGAGCATGTGGAATGGAGCAAAACCAGCGAGAACAAGAGTGGGTTTTGCCGCTTCGACAGTTCAATTTTGGCTGAATGGAAGCAATTCAAATAAAGGTGTAAAAGTCGTGTGTATTTTTTCTTTCGTTCGACATCATGGCATTGTGTCGATTTAGCCGGAGTCTTGAAATTCATGCTGCAAAACTTTTTAATAACCTTCTCACGATAAATACACACTATTTTATGCACACACACACACACACACACACACACACACACACACACACACACAC